GTACCAGCACGGAGTAATCACGGGCAAAGAGGCCCCATCGTGATCAGAATTGACACTCTGAGCGTTTGATGTCTGCAGTCAGAGGCAAGTTTGTGAATGAGATCAAGTGGTAGCAGAGAATGCTTGAGGCTTGCTTGGGCGTTCTTGTAGCAGGGCAGTGTGAGTGTGTGCAATGTAAACCAAGTTCCCATGTCAAGGTCCTCAGTGAATGCAAAGTACGTTTTATTCAACGTTCAAGCATAAACGTGCTGCACGACTGAGGAGTTTATGCTTTTTGTGATTGATGATGTGTTTAGGATTTGTTCAATCTACTAAAAGATGCGATTTCTGAAGGCGCCGGTATTACGAGCAAGGGTCCAATAGTCGTGGCTGCTCGTAATACGCGTGTGCATCATGCCCTTCGATATTTTCTCTCTCAGCCACCATGTCTCGGAGCCTTCTAGACAAGGGTGCTCAAACTGTTGGTAGTGGAGGCTGCGACTGCTCAGCAAATCTGTGCGATTGCACAAGTGAGTCAGCGCGCATAGAAACGTCATCTTCAGTTTTGTACAAAATAATAATTGTACTAATAAGCACTTGTGATCTGAATGCCATCCAAGCTTATTTTATTACGCAGCGAACTGATTGGCCGGGATGACATTCAGACGAAAAAAAAACATTAAAAATTTAAATGGTTTTTTTCGTCTTATTACGCAGCAAATCTACCAGAATATTACCAGTACTTTCGGTTTTGTACTGGGTACAGTACAAAACCGAAAGTACTGGTAATATTCTGGTAGATTTGCTACGGAAACCGGTTCATCTTTTGAGTCTAGTGATAGTTTTTTGGTGTCAATAATGTGCGCACATAATACTTCCGTACACAGATGTCTTGCATACTCGGTCTCCCAGGAATTTCAAGTCAGGTTTTCAGATACCGAAGACGAAAAGGTATCATATCGACGCAGCTTCCACACATAAAGCAAATTCATTGACAGCACATAAGACACGGTTTTAAGCCGTGGCATTATACAAGCTAGTCAGGTACGCGATGCCCTCAGCGCGGTGCGTGTCCGGCGCAGGGTAAGCAAGTTCCGTCACATTGGCATCGAATACGATGTTCTGTGCGTTGCCAAGCGTATACTCGGGCCACTTCAGCGCCGTCGCTCCGTACTCGTTCGGAGTCTGGTTCACGATGAAGCTCGCCCACATGCGGGTCATCACGCGTGCGAGCTGCTTGTAGCTCTCCGGCTTGTCGAGGAACGGGTCCGTGGCCACCGAGTTGTTATAGCCGTCGCCCAGCAGGTTGTAAAACACGAACGCAACCTCCGTGAAGTGTGTGGCGCCGATGTACTCGTTGTTTCCGGCAGTCAGAACGTTGAATACGTAGCTGTAGCTTGTCAGGTCGTTGGCAGCCCAGATCTCTGACAGATAGCGGCGAGGTGCGTGCATGACCACATCACCGCCGTATGCAGCAGCGCGTTTGTACATTGTGCCGTAGCCGGAGTCGATCGCGGGACGGCCGTGCAGAGTGCTAGGGATGCCGACGGCAGGGATGTCCGGGTATACTTCCGTGAGAATCGCCGCCGTCTCTTCAGTCTCGCCCATGGTATCAATCAAGTACGCTACGAACTCCTCCGTCGTATTCACTGTAGCACCACCAGCTCCGAAGGCCGAACCTTCATCGTTGTTCACACCGTGTAAAATGGGAACGTGCACGAACTTGCCCTCTGCAAGAAGCGCTGGGCCCACATCTGTGAGGAAGTCGCCGTCAACAATCGGACGGTACGAAGCAGAAGACGCCACAGAGCTGTTGAAGATCGACGAAAGGGTCTCGACCGGCACCTGACGCAGGCAGTCCAACGTGTCTGCAGCAGAGCTGCAGTTGGCCGCAGCGGTAATGTTGTTGTAGTAGACATCCCACTCCGTCGTGTTCAGGTACGTGGACGGCACCTTGGCCGGAGCTCCCGATTCCATAATGGCAGCGCGGTACAAACCATCGTCGCGGCCGCCGTACGCCAGCAGCTGATAGCCAACGCTCATAGCACCGGCACTCTCACCCCAGATCGTGACCTTGTTCGGGTCGCCACCGAAAGCAGCGATGTTCTCCTGCACCCAGTGAAGGGCCAGGTGCTGGTCTTTCAGACCGAGATTTGACACGCCTGCTTCCTTGACCGCAGTTCCCCATAGGAAGCCGAACGCCTGCAGACGATAGTTAATACTCACACCGATGAAAGGCATCCCAGCGTCGGTTGCCTCCTTGATAATGTACGACTGGTTGTAGCGAGGGTCACGTGAGCCACCTTCCGTGAAGCCACCACCGTGGATCCACACACCGACGGGGAGATCAGCCCCTTCGGAGACACCACTGGGACGCACCACATTGATGGTCAAGCAATCCTCCGAGATGACATTGCCCAGCACCCATTGGTCGCTGCCGTAGCCATAGCATTCCGGAGAGTACTCTGTCGCGTTCTTGGAGTCCGTCCATGTCGTGTTCAGAGGCACGGGGTTACGGAAACGAAGGTCTCCGACGGGAGGCTGTGCGTATGGCATTCCGAGGAAGAGATCTTGGCCATAGTTACCTTGGTTTACGCCGTAGTAGGACCCGTTCTTGACGGTGACAGTGGGAGGGTTGCTGGCACAAGTCAATGCAACCAAAGTCGATCCGACAGCGAGACTGTATGCGAGCGGTCTCATTGCGTAAGAAGAGGAAGTTGTTGCAGGCAAATTGGGAAATGTCGGTATCTTCACGGCTCCGGAAGAAACCGAGCGTTCGGTAGAGCAGCACCATTCAGCATTTTTGCCCGATCTTCTGAAGTCCAAGAGTTCATCATCCTTTGTGGTTCTTGATTACTGTACTGCAACCACGCAGGTTGAAGCACAATCGAAATGACTTGGTTTCCCATACATGTACAATTGGCTAGTTTCGTGCATGTTTTTACAGTTGCCCGACGGCTACTGTATATTGATGTGGAAGGGATAGCTTAGAAGAGAAGACGTACTGTGGAAGTCGTAATTCATAGTGCTGCTTGGTGTCACGCCGCCAAGCAGCCGCCGGCGTCTGCGCATCTTTAGGCTGAAGTTCTGTACCTGTACAGTGCGAATAAACCTCACAAGTCCTGAAGCTCGTACTCCAAACAATTTGCTAGAAAAAGAGACAACACTGTAGCTAACAAACTATTTCCCGCTGCGGATATTCTGAATTATCAATTAGCAAACTCCATTTCATTTTCATTTCTTAGCTGTGCCTGGTCAGGTGCGGGAATTTCTTGGTGGCACTGAGCCAGTTCTTGTGCATACATAAATGACAGGCTGTCAATGCCATCGGATCCCGTGGGCACCGGAACTTGAAGTTCGAGTTCACTTTGCCGCCGCGTTTTTGGCTGCTGAATCAAGTGTCGACTGGCAAACCAGTGGCGGCTTCGTGTACGTATTGCTTGAAGTCATTGCGTTGATGCGTCCATTTCCGCGTGAGCTGTGCGAATTGACCACCTGTACAAGCTTGTATATTATGTATACATATAGCTGCAACCACTGCCACTCGCCAGCAGATTCGTACTCTTGAGGCAGCTTGAAGCATCGATCGACTCGACTGCTTCAGCAACATCATGGCCGACGTAACGTACATGCACTTTACGCTGCGGTCTAGCGATGCGCATGTAGTTTCGAGGTGATGGTCGAGCAGCATGCGCTGAAGAAAGCAGCGTGCCCTCCCGTGCAACGGGCAGCACAAACGAAACAAAGCTCGATTTGGGAGCATATGGATTGATGCGTGGTTGCCGTCTGCGCAGTCATACCTCCGCCGCTCAGCGAATACAAGACCACAGCAATGTCGTTCATGTTTACGTGCATTGGAGACGGGACCAGCAGTATCTCGCTAGTCGGCTCACATTATCGGTCGTACAGTAAATGCACACTTCAACTTGAAGTGGCAATCGATTCATCTTCTCTTCAGCTCGGATCGGATGCAGCAAGTTATTATACCAGCAACCGTGGATCACGTCGAGTCTACTGTGTTTGCGCGGTAGCAGAATAAATCAAGTCCGAGCTTCATCGACCTTGACGTCCACCGACCATGCAGCATCAGCAGCAACTTGCAGCTACTGTCACGTTGCATGTACGTACACCAGAGAACTTGTTAATGGTCACAGTAACCGGAGAGCCCTGCTCAGCGTCCAAGCACCAACGATTTGCCAACTACATGTACAAGCCACGCAGCGCTCAGCTCATTCACAAAATTGCCTCTGACTGCAGACATCAAACACTCAGTGTCAATTCTGATCACGATGGTCTCCGTAACGTGGGGAATCGCCCTAGCTCTCTACACGCAACTCGTCAGCGCCGGTGACCCGCTCGCCACTGTCTCCTGGCGTACGGGCAACGACAAGGTCGACGCCATCATCGAGGCCCTGACGGCTGAGGAGAAGGTCAGCCTCGTTCACGGCACCGTCGACTCGGAAGGCAACCAGCAGCAGGCCGGCTACAGCGTTGCCATCCCGTCCCAAGGCATCCCGGAATTTCGACTCGCCGACGGTGAAGCTGGCATCAACATCGTGCAGAACGCCACGGGCTCGCCCGCGCAGTTGAACGTTGCTGCTACTTGGTCCCTCAACGCAGCGTACCAGCACGGAGTAATCACGGGCAAAGAGGCCAAGCTGTTCAACATGGCGGTGGCCCTGTCGCCGCGCGTGAACATCCTGCGCGACCCCGTGACAGGAAACTTCTGGCAGTCATACAGCGAGGACCCATACCTGAATGCTCGTCTTGGCATCCAGGGTGTCAAGGGTCTGCAAGATCAGGGCTCCATGGCGAACGCCAAGCAGATCGGCCCGTCGTCCACCGGTGCAAGTGCTGGTGATACCAACAGTATTGTGGACTTCCAGACGCTACAGGAGCTGTACTGGGTTGCTCCAGGTACTCTTCTACAGGAGGGCAATGCTGCCACTCTCATGTGCTCGTACGCACAGATCAATGGCATTCCAGCCTGCCAGTACGAGCCGCTGTTCAACACCGTGCGCGACGACTACAACAGCTCCGCCATCGTGATGAGTGACTGGGGCGCCACACACTCGACGGCCGAGAGTCTCGTCGCCGGCATGGACCTGGAGATGCCGACGGGTTCGTACTACGACGCACTGTACGACTACATCTACGTCTCAAAGAATTTGAGCGAGTCGTATCTGAATCGCGCTGTCGGTCACATCCTGGCCAAGTACGACGAGTTCGGTCTGCTAGGCACGACCACCGAAGGTTCATCACCGTTGCCGCAAGATGTGGTGGAGGACCACGCCAAAATCTCGTACGACATTGCCGTCAAGTCGGGCGTCCTGCTCAAGAACGACAACAACACACTGCCCATTAAGTCGGGCTCGTCCATCGCGGTGATCGGCCCCAATGGCGTGCAGTACACGCACGGTACGAACTTCGCGGAGCGTGCGTACGGCTTCCCAGACCGCCAAGTCTCAACGCTTGAAGCGTTAAAGTCTCGACTGGGCGAGGACGTCGCGAACGCCGTCGGCGTGGACCAGGAAGGAACGATCATCCCGTCGACGCACCTACGCAACCTGCAGGGTAACCCGGGTCTGAGCCGCAATGACAGCCTGGGCGGCAGCTCGAACGACGAGATTGTGTACTTCACCGGCACGTCTGCTCTGCCGAAGAACGCGTCGTATACGTGGCAAGGACAAGTGTACGCGGAAACGGACGGGTACTACACATTCTCGTTCGCGCGTGCGATCCCCAGCTGGGAGAACCACACCAACCCAGACTACGGTTCCACCTGGTCAATCGGCACTTTCAGTATTACCGGATCTGAGGTTGGCGAAGGCTATCGGCTATTCGGCGATGGTGGTGTCAAGCCCTGGAGTAACTCGATCGCTACACGTGACAACTGGGATAATATCAAGTCGTACGTGTACCTGGAGGAAGGCTGGCACGACATGGAAGCGTACATCGTGGGTCTGCTCGATGAGCCGACGTCTGTGCGCTTGACCTGGGTGACCCCCGCTCAACGTTCTGCCAACATCCAGCTCGCCGTCGACATCGCTCAGGAGGTGGACACGCCCATCGTGTTCGCGTTCGCCAACAGCCCCGCCCAGACGGGTCTCACCTTGGACGACGGCCTGGACGAGTTGGTGACGAAGGTGGCTGCCGCGAACCCGAACACCGTGGTGGTGCTCAACAACGCAGAGCCTGTGCTGATGCCGTGGCTAGACGACGTGGCTGCTGTGCTGGAGATGCTGTACCCGAACCAGGAGGGCGGTTGGGCCACGGCAGATCTGCTACTGGGCAACAACGTGCCGCAGGGCCGCCTGCCGGTGACGTACCCAGCGAGTCTGGACTCAACGATGACCCGCAACCCGGACTACCCGGAGCGTGTTGCCACCGAGAGCGGCAACGCAACGTTCAGTGAAGGTTTGAACGCTGGCTACCGCTGGTATGTGCACACGAACACGAGCGTGCTGTTCCCGTTCGGATATGGTCTGAGCTATACGTCGTTCGAGTACAGCAACCCGAACTTCGCGGCGTCCAGCTCGACACAACAAAGCAGCAGCGGTCTTAACTACGAGGTGTCGTGCAGCCCGGATGACGCTGACGCCGTCTTCAGCGTGTCGTTCACGGTGACGAATACTGGCAGCGTGAAGGGTGTGGAGGTGCCGCAGGTGTACATTGGCCCACCGGCAGACGCTGCAACGGCGTACCCGGATGTGCAGTTTGCTGCGACGGCTCTGGTTGGCTTCGCGAACGTGGAGCTGGAGGCCGGCGCGAGCACGACTGTGACCATCGGTGTCCGCGAGAAGCAGCTGAGCTTCTACAACGTGAACACCACGAGCTGGGAGGCTGCGAAGGGCGAGCGTCCCTTGTGCATCAGCAAGAACGCGGAGGAGGCGGTGTTCAGCGGCAAGGTGCAGCTGTAAGTACACGTGATTAAGTGAGTATGGTACAGTATTATACATCGCATAGCGAAGGAGTGCAGTGATTTTGGTTTTAAAATGAAGGCCGGCGTATGTGTGGAAAAATACATGAAAATAAATTCATGTCTAAAACTATCTTCATGGTTTCACTAAACTACTTCTGGCCCAGCTGTAAAATGGTACCTCACTAAACTAAAAAAAATATGTCCGAGCCAGCTTGGGCAGACGATGGCGTGGTTGCTGTTGAAGTGGTAATGAGATCACCTCAAAGATTTGCATCATTGAATCAGTCGAGCCTCGAAAATGTGACGAGACAGTTGAAGTTGAAGTCGAACGCAAAAATGCGGGAAGGAATCTAGTCGCTCTGCTGCTGTGCTACCCCTGGGGCTCACGTGGCTGGTCAGGGCACCAATGCTCGTGGACTTCTGCCCTGCGTATCGCGGCGCAACGAGGGCCGTTGGAACTCTCATTGGGGCTTCGAGTCGGCAGATTGCAAGGAGTTCTTAGTTCTTAGACAGCTTTTAGGCAGATTCACAGTTAATTCAAAGTGAATACATGCAGAGTCTTTTCCCAACCAATCTGGATATAACGGTGCTGTATTTGCTGATCACGGGACAACCAGCCGTGATGGCGGTATGCTGTTTTCACTGTTTGCGGTCGCAGTTTCCTCCTTAGGTACTGGACTAGTCCCCACTTCTACAGCCTTTTCACGCATCACGTTGCAGTTCGATGGGGATTTTCGCGTCGCGTGGAGTCTCAGTCTTAAACTTCCCAGCGGTTGCCCACATCAAGCTACTTCCTTGTTGAGCTACGACCGAAATGCGCTCTGTGAAGACTTCTCTCGCGGCTGTGGCAATTTTGCTAGCTTCAGCCTCTGCTACCGACCCACCCACTGTCACCGTCAAGAACGGGTCCTACTACGGCGTATACCAGCCCACCTACGACCAGGATCTCTTCCTTGGAATGCCCTACGCGCAGCCTCCCGTTGGTGATCTCCGTTTTCGTAACCCCGAGCCTCTGAACACGACGTGGACGGACTCCAAGAACGCAACCGAGTACTCTCCGGAATGCTACGGCTACGGCAGCGACCAGTGGGTGTTGGGCAACGTTGTCTCGGAGGACTGCTTAACCATCAATGTGGTGCGCCCAAGCGGCATCTCTAAAGACGCCAAGCTTCCTGTGGGCTTTTGGATCCACGGAGGCGGTTTGGCTCAGGGTGGCAACCGTGACCCTCGCTACAACTTCTCGTACATCATCGATGAGGCTACCAAGGCGGGCAAGCCGTTCATTGGTGTGAGCATCAACTACCGATTGCACGGCTTCGGCTTCCTGTGGGGAAGCACTGTCGAGGAGGCTGGCGTAACGAACCTGGGCTTCCGTGACCAGCGTCTGGCGCTGCACTGGGTGCAGGAGAACATCGCCGCTTTCGGCGGTGACCCGGACAAGGTCACGATCTGGGGTGAAAGCGCCGGCGGCTGGAGTGTTGGCTACCAGCTCTTAGCTTACGGCGGCCGTGACGACGGGCTGTTCCGTGGTGCAATCATGCAGTCTGGAGCTCCAGCATCTTCGAGCTACGCGAATGCTTCTTCCTGGGACGTGTACTACAACAATATCACCTCGGCCGCCAATTGCAGCTCTGTCACTGACACGCTCGACTGTCTGCGTCAGGTGCCGGTCGATGCGCTTTCATCGATCTTTAACAGCTCCGTGGCTGCGTCCGCCTCCTTCCGTCCTGTCATCGACGGCGACTACCTCCAAGACACAGGCGCCAATCTTCTGCGCGACGGGAAGTTTGTGCACGTGCCGATCCTTCACGGTGCAAACCACGATGAAGGATCCGCGTTCGGTACGTGGGGCATCAACTCAACCGACGAGTTCCTGGATTACCTAGTGGCAATGGGGAATACCGCCGAAGAGGCTGAGATTCTCGCGGCAGTCTACCCAGATATCCCGGAGCTTGGCATCCCCGGTACATTGCACGGCCGTCCGCCTGTGGATTCCCTAGCTGGTTCCCAGTTTAAACGCGTCTGCGCCTATGCTGGAGACGCCTACATGCACGCTCCCCGCCGCTACACGGCCGAAGCGTGGGCAGCCTACAACGTCACGAGCTACAGCTACGTCTTCAACGTGTTAGTCAATGGACTGTCACAATACGTGGGCGCCACGCACTTCCAGGAGATCGCCTTCGTGTTCTACAATCTCGATGGTAACGGATACGATAACGCCGTCGCCGTCAACCCGTTCCTGAACCAGCCCGAGACGTTCACCCAACTCGCGCGTATGATGACTCGCATGTGGTCGAGCTTCATTGTGGACCAGACGCCCAACAACAACGGCGTCACGGCCTTGAAGTGGCCGGAGTACACTACCGAGGATCCGAAGAACATCGTCTTCGACGTGAATGTGACGGAGCAGGCCTATCTCGAGCCGGACACCTACCGTGGGGAGGCCATTGCCTACTTGCACAGCAAGTATTTCGAGTAAACCGGCCAACTGTAGGGGCAGATGAAAGTGCTAATGTTGCGAAGGACACGATTAGTTCTAAACTACGTTTTTAATGAAGTTGTACTTGTGTTTTCTTGAAGATATCAACATAAGATCGCGTACATGCTTCAACCACTCAGCAAGTTGATCATCAAGTGTCAAGTGGCTACATGTAACGTGAGCAAGCAAATCTTTCATGCTTTGCAACGCGCTGTCAATTGAGAAGACCTGGCCGGCCTCGTTTCTGCAGTGCAGTTCGAGTTGAACTGCAACGCGCGTGGTTGCAGTATTGCAGCCGAATACCGTGCCCTTGATCCAATACAAGGCTTTGGCATTCAGCAAACTACCACGTTGATGATGACACCGCTTGCACTTGCAGTCGTGCCGCTCTTGGTCGCGACGGCGTACGCCACTAACCCACCCACGGTCACCGTCAAGAATGGCTCCTACTACGGCGTCCACCAGCCCACCTACGACCAGGATCTCTTCCTCGGGATGCCCTACGCGCAGCCTCCCATCGGAGATCTCCGCTTTCGCATTCCACAGTCACTAAACACGACGTGGTCCGAGGCGAGGAACGCAACCGAGTATTCCCCGGAATGCTACGGCTACGGCAGCGACCAGTGGGTGTTGGGCAACGTTGTCTCGGAGGATTGTTTGACGATCAATGTGGTGCGACCCAGTGGCGTGTCTGAAGGAGCCGATCTTCCGGTCGGCGTCTGGATTCATGGCGGAGGATTCTACCAGGGCGGCTCACGTGACCCTCGCTACAACTTGTCGTATATTGTGAATGAGGCTGCGGAAGCAGGCATGCCATTCATTGGTGTGAGCCTCAACTACCGCCTACAGGCGTTTGGGTTCTTGTGGGGCACGGCAGTCAAAGAGGCCGGAGTGACGAACCTGGGCTTCCGAGACCAGCGCTTAGCACTGCACTGGGTGCAGGAGAACATCGCCGCCTTCGGTGGTGACACGAACAAAGTCACGATCTGGGGCGAGAGTGCCGGAGTTCGAGGCGTCTCGTACCAGCTTATCGCATACGGCGGTCGCGACGACGAGCTCTTCCGTGGGGCTATCATTCAGTCTGGCTCCCCTGTCAAGTACATCCCCAGAGCGTATACCAACGCTACGGCGTGGGACGTCTACTATAACAACATCACGGCAGCGACTAACTGCAGTTCGGCTGCTGATACTCTCGACTGCCTCCGCCAAGTCCCAATCGATGCATTATCGGATATCCTCAACAGTTCGGTGGCATCTACAGCGTCCTGGGGACCAGCCGTTGACGGCGACTACATCCAGGACACTGGACCAGCTCTACTGAGCGCGGGGAAGTTTGTACACGTGCCGATTCTACTAGGAACCAACAATGACGAGGGCACCGCGTTCGGTAAAACTGGCATCGACACGACTGAAGAGTTTTTCCAGTATTTGGTGAACATGGGCTACAGCCAGAACGAGGCGAACGTGTTGCTGGATCTGTACCCGGACATTCCAGAAATCGGCATCCCAGGCACACTGCACGGACGTCCGGGCAACGATACGTCGTATGGATACATGTACAAGCGAGTGTCCGCGTACGCTGGGGACAGCACGATGCACGCTCCTCGGCGTTTTATGTCAGAGATCTGGGCGAGCAACAATGTCTCGAGCTACAGCTACCTGTTCAACGTGCTGACTTCTGGAATATCTCAGTACATTGGTTCCACGCACTTTACGGAGGTTGCGTTCGTGTTCTACAACCTGCTGGGCGACGGCTATAACAACTCGGTGGCCACGGACCCGTTCCTCGACAAGCCGGAGAGCTACAAGCAGCTGGCACGCGTGATGACCCGCATGTGGGCGAGCTTCATCGTGAACCAGACTCCGAACGAGAACGGAGCGACGGCGCTGAAGTGGCCCGAGTATACGCTTGACGACCCGCAGAACATTGTGTTCGACGCCAATGTGACGGAGCTTGCCTACATCGATCCCGACGTCTTCCGTGCTGAGGCCATCGCGCACATGATTAACAACGCATAAGGTTGACCAAGAATTCATTTGGCGTGTTGCCACTCAATATACATTGTTTCTCCCCTTATGGGTTGTTCACAGAGCTCTGCCAAACACAACGACGAAGTCTTGCCAGCAAGTACTACTACATCACTGCTGTCAAATACTTCTTAGTACAATCAATGCAAGTGTCAGAGTGTGAAGGACAGCTCAGCTGCAGATGCATGTGTATCTGTGTAAGACGTTTTACGGACAAAAAGCTACAGCGCAGTTCTTGTCAAGTTGAAGGTTCAAAGTTGCACGAACATCCAGTTGAAGCTCAAAAGTTACTGGTGAACGGGTCAATATTTTCCCTAGTCGTGAATCATGGCTCGTCAAGGTCCGAGGAATTGAATCTTCGAATACATGTAGTAGTATGCTATCAAGGACTCGAGATTGCTTCCAGCAGCTCTGATCAAGAGTGAATGCAACGAAACTGTGCCATCACGTATTGTGATCCGGTTTTGGAGCAGGTACACCCAGAACCAGAGCGATACGCTTTCGTGAAATGATTAATATGAGCAAGCACCAATACTCTAGGTAGTGTTTGAAGATGTCGTAGCTTCTAGTGGCCGCTAACCTGCACCCGCCGAAGAATCCTGTCTCTATAATCTGGATGTTGCATCGTCCTTGTAAAATCTCAAGCCATGGCAGGAACTGGTGTTCGTTGCCCGCTGCATGATCTCGAATACGTAAGCTATTAATTTCTTGTGTACGACAGTCGTAAGGACAAACTACATATACCGCCTACCCAAGGTGTCATCGGCGTACCTGAAGTGACCGACGACATTTTACGGTTAATCGAGACATCTCCATCGATTTGACTAACCACTTGACGACCGACAAAGTCACGAGCGCGTTATCTTTTTACCACACAACAATGCACTTCGAGGTACAGTAAACGTTTCCGAATCCATTACAGTCAAGGATAACACGCAAGGCCAAAGGACCACGCCAAGTCACACATGCATTGTTCACACGCTCAGCGAGGCAACCCACGTCGGCGTCTCACCATTTCACCACTCGATCTGCTGCTAACGCTGCTGTCTCCACGCTGAAGCATTACCTACTCGGCACGCGTTGCAAGCGTCGAACATCCTCATCGAAATTGGCATCGATACGGAGTGGACGGCAAAAAGCGAGGCTTGTGTACTCAAACTCTACAGGAAGGCGAACCCAGCGGCACTTGCTTCGATTTCTTTTGTATTTCACAACCTTCGCGAAAGAACCCCGGCAGTAACCTCAGCGTAGTACAACGAAGGTCAACCCCGATCAAGCGCGTGCCTCGTGTGCCAATATCCAGAGAGATCTCGCAGCTCTCAAAGAGTTGAGTGCCAGTTGTTGGGTCTTCGTCCGGTTGTGCAGCATACAAAGTTCAAGTGATTTGAACACCCCGCGTATAGGCAGCCCAAATCAAAGCCATTCCATTTCGAGCGGAGCTCATGACGAAGCCGTCGGGGCCGCAGAGGCAGCGATCGCTCTCCTCCGCGAGCGGCGGAGGCGTCGGCCGCGCCACGACGAACTCGCGCGGCTCGTTGCAGTCGTCCAAGGAATACGTGGCCCGCGCACAGCAATTTGCCGACGCGCGCGTGCTGGAGACGCTCCGGAAATACCACAGCAACCGCGCCGCCGCCTCGTACGCCATGGGGGATTCTTTGGGCGTGGACCGCTCGCAGTGGAAACTCGCAAAGGGCGGCGGTCGCCATCACTCCATCGCCTGCTACAAGAAAGTGTCGTCCAGGGGCCCGTTCGGCGGCCTGAGGATACCGCGCAGGGACAAACAGAGTAATCAACACGCGGCCGACTCGATGCGTATGACTATGACCGCCAACAAGAGCGCGCCGTCCGTAGCTGTCTCGGAACAGGCCGAGCTGCTGGCCCTTGGAATCGTACCGGGCACGCTTGAGGACGTGCTGCACGGTACAGTGAACCTCACGCCTGAAGCCATGCAGATTGAGAGCGCGCACGCCCAGTGTGACCTGCTGGACAGCCGCGTATTGGCTGCACTCGTGGCTCCCACGGTTAATGCGCCATTCCGCTCGCTCACACTCAAGTGGGCTCTGCGTCACCATGAAGTTCTATCCAGACACCGAGACTACGTCTATCTGGAGGCCACGGGAGTGGTGCGGGACTCCCAGGACAATGGCGCACGGGTAGGTTACCACCTGGTACACTCCGTGACGCTACCGTCGGCTCCAGAACTGGCGCCGGAGATGCAGATCGTGCGTGGCCACTTGTCGTACTGTTATCTATACCGACAACACAGTGATACCGAAGTCGAGCTCTTCTTCCATGGTGGAATGCTGCCACGAGGCGGCGCAAAGGACCGTCTAGCCTTCCAATTAACAGCAGATGCAGTGCTGGCCTCACCAAGTACAATCGAGTGTGCGATGATGAAGAAACTGGCCTTCTCGCTGCGAACCAAGCAGCCGACTGCTCTCCGTCCGCCGTCGCCGCCGCTGCATCACATCGACGACGACATGCGGCAGACCCAGAGTGGACGTAAGAGTACGTTCGGTACCAGTATGTTCCGTGCGTCGATGACGTTCGATAGCAGTCGCAGTAGTATTTCCTTCGGAGGGGGCCAGGGTGTCAGTCCGTGTCGTGTGTGCCGTCGTCCGGTTCGAGCTTTCTTTAGTGGGAAAGTGGCGAGCTGTCAATTGTGTGAAGAACCAGTATGCAACCGCTGTAAGGTGCACAAGAAGGTGTTTGTGTTTGAAGCGGGGGTCTTCCATCCCCAGAAGATGGACTTTTGCACCGAGTGTATGGTGACTACGAACCGCTTGAACGCTGGGTGGGTGGCGTCGCAGGAACTCACGGGAGCTGCTAACCGAGTGCGTCTGAGTGAACGCAGCAGCTCGTCGGAGGAAGAGAATGTAGCCAAGTCTCAGATCGGTCTGGGAGCCTCGTGGCATGGCGGGATGTCGCGCATTGACGAAGGCCGCGCTACCATGTCGTCCGACGGTCCAATGGGCCACTCAGCGCCCCAGTCTGTCGTCTGGCTTCCCACAGACCACCTGCATCCCCGCCTTACGTCCATTGATCCGATGGATATGGAGACGGAGGAGGAGAATGGCCCTCAGTATGGAGCATACGATCGCGTAGAGGACGACAGCTTTATCGACACGGAGGCGTTCGTGACGCTGGATGACGACGACGACCGCTTTGACGAGGTCATCCCCATGATTGACATCCCATCGGAGGGCGAGGAGGACGAATTCGACAATGAACGCACGCTCTCGAGTCACGCAGTGGACCTCATAAGCGTCTCGCAGAGCTCGTAGAAATCGATCAACTAAAACAGACCCACCAAATGTCTTCGGAAAGACACGAAGACAAGCAGGACGTGGTCAGTACCTCTTATTTAACAACAAGAAGTAAACGTATCAGGCGTTTTCGCCACTAAGTTGTTTGCGGCTTGCGTTGGTTGCGTTCTCGAAGTAGTTTCCTCATTCGAGCAGCGTATTCTTCCCAGTAAGGCCAGTCGGCTACGTGTTGAGCTCGCGCAGTCTGTAATTGCTCTTGTTCTTGTGCTGTCAACTCGTTCTCCTTTCGACGACTTTGGCTCTTCATTATCAGCAGAACCAGCTCGGCGAGCTGCGTCGTTGTCAGCCGCATCGTCATGAGCTGCGGTGTCGAAGATAACGTCACGGGTTTGTCGTCGTTTGCGGCCGCGTCTGAGGCACTTTGGATGTGTATATTTACAGTTTCCGATAGCAACAACGTCTGTGCATCCGCCACCTCGGCAGCTGTCCACATGCTCTTGAGCTGTTCGTCTTCACCTGCAGTAGATAATGCTTGACGACCCACGACCAGCAATTTACAAGTTGCCGACGAACATTCCTGCAGCAATCAGTAGTGAAGATTTATGGTATGGGTCATGCTGTAGATCTCTATCCGAACCTGCGGGTTCAAGTGCACGTGGATGGAGACGCTGTCACCTGACGCATGGAGCAGTCCCAGCGCCGGACGCACACGCAATTTGCGCGGGGCCGTGCACTGCACTTTGAAGAGCGTCGTCCTGCTCGGCTCGGTCACGTTACGCAGCACCAGCGTCTGCTGTCGCTGCCCTGAAAGCGAGAGCTCTAGTGGCCTTCCCTGTGCCCGGCCGTCGTAATGGAGCTCCATTAATGCTGACGTTGAAGTGGTTTGTCAAAATGATGAAAACAATTTCTCGAATTTTCTGTTTGGTTAATTTAGCTTGTACTATGTATGCAATACTCGTTGCGAGTCATAATTTCGGCCACCCCTATTGTAGCCATCGGTTCCAAATCGTCACTCCAACATGCGTCGTGCTGTCAACGGCGATACCGCAGCCAAGGCGCGCGGCGGTTCCAAGCTGCGAGCCAGTCGCGTACGTCGTCAGCGGGACCGCGAGCGCAGTCTGGATGAGGATGAACTCGAGCAGCGCTTCGGTCATGTTTCTTTGTCGCTGTCAGCGCCCGTGTTCGTGCCGGCTGCGCAACGAGCCGTCCAACCGCCGGCTTCGACGCCTGCCACTCCCAAGCGTTCGATGGCCTTCGTAACGGAGCGACGTGGTCCCTCGTCTTCCGCAATATCTAGCGCATCTTCTCGACGTCCGAAACGCTCTGCCACAGCAACAGCCGCCGCTAAATTACACAAAAACATCGAGGCGGCAGGCAAGAAGAACCAGCAACTGCAGACAAGTAGAACTGCAGCTCGCGGCAGTAATGGGAATACTCCGAGCAAACCCAGACGACAGCGTATGGGCACTAAAGGACTGAATAAAGAGGGACAGACACAGCCGTCCGCCAAGGCCGCGGCCGTGTCGATGCGCGAGCGTCACCGTCGCAAACTGTCACTTACATCGACGGAGCTGCAGGCGCAAGAGACGACAACAGAACCGGAAGCGGAGACTGCACCGTCAACTGGACAGGACGCTGAGGACGTGTACCCCGAGACAGCAGGAAGCGCCTTCCCCCAGCAGCTCACACTCTTTAGTCAGCAGAAGCGTCTGCCACAGCGCGTGGCCAGTCGTGACGATGTCATCGACACGATCTTTAAGGCGCTATTCGCACGCAGTGAAGGTCGACGTAATCGTCCACGCCAGGCACTCAGCGCCTTCGGAGACGACACAGGAACAGACACGGATGAACCCAATGAAGAGTTCGTCAAGCGAGGACTAGCTAATGCTCTCTTCAGAGACCAACTCAATCTGCATGCGCCGTCATCGCTACCAACTGCCGTGACCCCAGCAGCGGCAGCAGACAGCCTCATCAGCCCTACATTTATGCATGCACTCGTGAACGCACTGCGCTTCGAGGACTTCCGTACAGCCAGCGCGCGTCTGGACATTGTGCGAGCTATCCACAAAAGCTGCCCCACCAAGAGGCTGCACCTTACACGGGCACTCGCTGACGCCACAGCATTGCGTGTGGAGTACGTGACAGCCGTCGCGGCGCGTGCGCAGACGCTTGGCGTTGAGAAAACCTCGACGCAAGTTATCACCGACCACATGCACGATCACGGACACGGCTTCACGGAGTTCCTTCGTTACTCCATCGAGCACGTTGAAGAGAGTTTATTGGATACACCGCCTCCTGAGGGATCCGACGCGGCTCTGGAGCAAGAGGAACAGCAGAAGGAACTCGCACGCAACTGTATGACCAGTCTCGTGTCGCTCTGGCGCGCGCATTGGGTGGATCCTGCAGGATCCGACGACGAAGAACTCATTAGCTGTGCTGGGCAGTTCGTGGCGTACATGCCGTCGGTGACCGGCCCACTGCTCAAACGGTTGCTGAGTGCGTGGCCGACGCGCTACCCGAAGCAGGAGGTGGGGGCTATTCGAATGGTGGCACGGGTCATCATGTCGGGTCCTCCACTTAACCAAGTGGACCCGACTCAAGTCCTGCAGCGTCGAGTGTTCACTCGACTGGCGCGTGCGTTGCAGAGTCCAAACGTTGATGTGGCCAAGGAGGCGCTGGCTTTCACGTGCTGCCAGTTCGCGCTGGTTCACTTCTTAGGGCGAGACGAGGTCATCTACAAAGCCATCACCGCCGCACTGCACAGTAACGTCGAGAACCATTGGCATCACGGCGTACGCAGCACATCCGAGACCAATTTTGACCGCGCCTTGGACTTTGCGTCGTAAAAAAAAAAAAAAAGTAAAGCCGGAAAAGATGAAATAGAAGTAGATAGAATAGATAGACGACTTTAACCTTTTTGGAGCAGAGAAGAGAAATAAAATACTTGCCAGTATGCAAACGTGTTTTAAACTGTTCACTCGTCGTCGCGCTTGCCGGAGCAGCCACTGAAGTCGAAGCCACAGGCCATGGAGATGACGAGATAAATGACAAAGAGTCCCACAGTCACCAGCAGCAGCCAGAGCTTGACGTTGCGTCTCCACATGGACTTGCGTAGTTGCGTGGACGAGCGCTCGAACTTGACCGACTGGCGGTTCAGCTTGTCCGTGCGGTCCACGAGTAGCTCAAACTTCTCTCCTCGGTCCAGTACCTTTTCAATATTCTCCACCATAATATCCTTAACGTCGTCGATCTGCTGCTTAACCCTCGAGAGCGAGTCTGCGTCTGGGTTGGCGTTGTAGTAGTCGAGCAGGCGGCGGATCTCGTGCTGGAACTGGTCGTTCATGGCGAAGGCGATGGCCGTGAGTGCGCGCTCGCCGTATGCGGCTTGGAAGCGGTTCTTCATGTCTTCCAGGAAGAGGAAAGGCACGCGCCGCTTGAGGTCGTCGTCCGCCATGCATAAATACGTCACGCCGCCCTCCACGATGTAGTGGAAAATGTGGCGGTCGTACACGTACGACATGCGTCCATCGGTGGGCGGAATCTTGGCCAGCAGCACGCGCGTCACAGTGGGGAAGTTGCCTGACGTCGCCGTGTACTCAGCCAGCACCGTCTTCTCGCGCGACACGAGCGCGTACACGATCGGCATGGCGGCGGGCAGTGCTTCGCTTTGTGTTGGGAATCTTCAATTGAAGAATTTGTTTTCAACAGTACATGTACTCAGTTTTTCTCTGATTCGGAATCAGAACCTGGAATCAGCTGATCGAATCAGATATGGTCTGATTCTGAGAATAATCTCTGACTTTGTTTCTATGATGCTCAGAAACTACCATAAAATGCTACTTTTCTGGTCAATTTTCGAAGAACTTCAACTGCACGTGTATTTGCCCGTGTTTATCGCTGTTATTCTGTATCCCAGCGACCTGTTAAAGCAACGTTGCCACGTGTGCCTCTATAAGCTGCAAAATGCAACAGATTGATACAGAAAAATGTTAGTTTAAAGTTTCACCCTCGTCAGTCGTTGTCGCTGCACGCACCGTCATCAGCTCCGTGCGGTCGAAACTGTTGCGGAACGGATACGCCAGCTTGTTCAGCATCAGCAGCTCGTCGCGCAGCTTGTCGACCGACCAGTTGGCCGTCTTCTCCACCAACTTCGTCAAGACCGCCGTCATCCGAGCCTGCAAAATTAAAAGTATACCTCAATTAACGCCACCACTACCTCAATGAGCAACACGTATACGCACCTCGTCATAAATAAACTCTGGTGTCTCCTGCACTTCCTCCTCCGCCTCAGGCATCGGCTCGTCATTGTTTCCTTCTGCTACCGCCACATTATTCTCCGCTGCAGACGCTTCTTCCATCTCTACAGTCTCCTCGTCACTGCTTACCTCCTCTCCAAGAGCCTCCTCGGTCATCATTCGCTCGGCATACCGGTTGCCAAACAGCTTGAGCGACAACTCCGGGTCCTCATTAATGTACTTGAGCGCCTCCACCACGCTGTTCAACATCACAGTCTCGCCATCGCGCGTCTTGCCAGGAGTAAACACGACGCGCTGCACAGCGAGTCCAGACTCTTTACCCGACGCCTCAATGATGTCGAAATTGTCATCGCGAGTCCATCCTTCCTCCTTCAACAGAGGCCACAAGAGCTCATCGAAATAGTCCGTCTCGTCCATCTTCTCCTCGTCCTGAATGAGACGCACAGAAGCCACGCCATCGGCGTCATTCGCCACAGACCGCTGGGTCTTGACCGACTCCATCACCGCGTCATCCGTCAACCGCCTCACGTACTTGCAACTCACGGACTTTTCACTGCCTCCGAGAATGTACTTGACGTTGTAAGTGCCGTCCTTATTGCGACTCTGCACCACGGCAGCGCCACCTTCACGATTGATTCCTGGATGCGTCCGACTGCTCACAAAGATGCGATCGCCTTCTTCATAAACTTCTTCCTCCATCTCTTCGCCTGTGTCTTCGTTGGTCTTATCGTCCGACTTGTCATCGGTAGATGCCTCTTCATCGCTCTTCTTCTCCTCTTCTTCCTCGTCAAACCATTGCTGCGCTGACTGAAGCTTTGGCACTTCCTCCTTCGATTTGTTTCCACACTGTACCTCCGTCCGTTCCTCCTTCACTCCATTGCTGATGACATTAGTGCTTTCTGTCGCACGTGAAATAGCTGCGTCCAGACTGATTTCAGGGGCTTTTACACCTCGAAGCCGCGCACTGGTACGCACACCAGGCTTTTCAGCCGCTCGTACAGAATTCTTGCGTGTGTTCCGGCCAGTTTTCAAAAACCGTTGGCCATACTCTCCGTACATCGTTGGATGTGCCCGCAGTCTCTTGGTTACCTCTCGACACTTGGCGAATAAATCGTAGCCCTGACGTATCCGGAATCTGTGAGCATATGACAGAATATTGTCCTTCATCGTACCAGCCGCATGTGCGATATGGCGCGTCCTACTGCGCTTTGGGTTGAAGACATTGGCGTTCCGTACGATGAGTTGAATGTCGTCCATAAACTGCTCGAAGCACGTGTACTCTTCATCGTTCAACTTGTCCCGCATTGTGCTCAAGTCCATGGGTCTCTTCACTATCAAGTAGTAGTTGGGCACTGCCACGGGGTCCACTGGCACGTAGAACGGAGTGTACAACCTCTGCGAGTAGCAGTAGTGTAGCACTTGACTCAGGAAGATCCGCAGCTCTCGTAAAAAGTGGAAATCTCGTTCCCTCCTTTTCTTCTGCTCTTCCGGACTCAGTTCCATCTTGGATGGAGCTGGAGGAAGCGGAGCCAGTGGCAACACGGCGAGCTTCTCGTGTTTGGATCTTTTCTTCTTCTGGACAGCTGGAGGCGTGGCGAACGAGCTAAACACTTGATCAAAATGAGTCAATCGCGCTTCTTCACTTGGTGCATCCATCTCCATGACCACAGACGTCAGCGATACACTCGGGTCCTCTTTAAACAACGCCAATAGATCTTCTGGTAAGGTCTTTTCGTCACATGAGGGCGCTGTACACGCCAAGAACAAGATGGGCAGATTGGCTCGAACTTGCAGGTCCATGAGCATCATCTTCAGTGTCAAGTGCATCGACTCGTTCGTGTTCTTCCACCACAACTCAACGTGAGGGAGATAAATCACACACGGTAGACATTTCTGGGCCTCACTGAGTCGTTGGATCAGTGCTTCTTCGGGGAAATGCGAGTTCGAGTCGGCCACTAGTGAAGGATAATCCAGCGAGAAGTGAGTTAACCCTTCCAACGAGTGCAGAAGCGCTGGGCCAACGTATTGCTGCCCCATGCCAGCTTTACCCGCAATCAAAACGCGAGGGAATCCAGAGTGACGAGGCAAATGCAGCGAAGCGATCGAGTGCACGCGCTTCTTCTTGCCTCGCTGTATCGCTCTTTGCATCGCCGCAGAGCTGGAAGTCCGACAATCAAGACAAAACCAGAGTCCACCGGTATCTTCTTCAGTAGATGTAGCCATCTCGGAGAGACACGCACGATGGAAGGCTCCCGGACAGGCATCACAGCAGAGCAGCTCGCCTTCGTTTCCATGACACACGTCGCAGTCGTCATGGCTCGTAACAGCATAAATATCCACGTCATCTTCCTCTTCCTCCTCGTCTTCCTCACTGTTGGTAGTAACAGCATCGTCAATCGCTGCCTTGTCAAGAGGAAAGAGCGGGAAATGACGCGCCACATCTCGCAAAACCTGCATCAGTTGAGTCTGCAGTAATCCCTTAACTGCTCGTGGTAGCGGCGATGCGAATGAGCTTATAGCGCGATGTGAAGCTGGCGTGATCTTCTTCGCTGCCTTGACGAAATCTCCGCGAGCCACGACCACCTTGTCCAGATTGATCAGCAGTTTGTCTTGACTCGCGTATACCTGAGGATACACGCGACGCAGAGAGCACAAGGCCGCCTCAGCACACAGCGCCTTAATGTCAGCACCACAATACCCCACTGTCTGCTCCGCGAGTTCCGTTAGAAATCTATTGGATAAAGGAGGTTTCCAGTGCTTCGAGTGGATGGCCAGCATACTCTTCCGTTCATCCACACTCGGCAGCTTGAAGCCCAATTCGCGATCAAAGCGACCAGGGCGACGCAAGGCCGGATCAATCGCATCCAGTCGATTGGTGGCGCCAATCACAACGACGCGGCCTCGTGAGTCCATTCCGTCCATCAAAGCCAGCAGCGTCGACACGATGGACGCGTGGATTTGATCCTGTTTGGCGCTACGCACAGGCGCGAGGCCATCGATCTCATCAAAGAAGATAATGGACGGCTGGTTGCGTTTGGCTTCCTCGAATAAAAGACGTAGTTGTCGCTCTGCTTCTCCCACCCATTTACTCAGACAATCCGCTCCCTTGCGCATGTAGAACGTCACATGTCGCCTCGGTTGTTGCTTCTTCTTCTTCTGTGCTGGACTGGTTGCTTGTATCGAGCCACTGGGTTGTTCTCCTTCTCCGTAGAAGGAGCAGGAGTTCGCCAGCGCTCTGGCTAGCAGGGTCTTACCTGTACCTGGAGGTCCGTAGAACAGCACTCCGGACGGTGGAGACACGCTATACTTGCTGTAAAACTCTGGATACAACAGCGGTAGCATCACCATCTCTTTCAGCGCTTCAATGTGCGATTTCAGGCCACCCACGCTGTCCCACGTGATGCTGCGATCTACCTCCACTGGCGTGATGTCTGCACGTGAACTTCCGCTCTTGCGACTGCTTTTAGAAGACCGCCATGGGCTGGTAGTCCGCATTCCGCCGTCCGAGTCGTCGTCGTCCATGTACATGTCGGAAGAGGATGAGGAGCCCGAAGATGAGGACGACAGCGATCGACGATGACGATTCCGACGTCCTCGACTGTATTTGTTTCGGCCACGACTTCGGCGGCGACGTGGAGGGGGAGACGAGTCCATGTCCGGCAGAAAGAGGCGTCTATTGCTTCCAGAACCGGTCGTGGAGCTTCTCCTCGAGGCGCGAGTGGCCTGTCGTTTCTGATACTCTGCATAGGCTGAAGTCTCTGGAGACGCAGCGGCGTCTTCCTCGGCGTCAGCTCGATGCGTCTTGGAGCGGTCACGCAGCGAGTAGCGGCGTGAAGTGTCTTCTGGTTCAAACATAGGCGCTGCTCTCGTCTTGGTGCGACTGCGAGTGGCGATACTGGTCTCGTCTGTAGCCACCTGTCGACGTTGGCGTAGATGGTAACGCGTCGAACTGGCTGGTTCTTCGGCATCGTCTTCGTCCTGTCCATCGTCTGAGATTGCATCGTTCTCGGACTGAGACTCGTTGTCTGCATCTTCTTCCTGTTCTTCCTCCTCTACGTGGTTCTCTGCCACCTGCGACCGCCTCGTCGTGCGTCCTCTGCTCTCAGTTTGGGGAGGGGAAACGACACTCGCGTCGCTCATCGTGAGACTCTCTCGAGACCGTAAAGAGTAGCGTGTCGAACGCTCACGTCGCTGTTGTTCTCGTTCCTGACGCTCCTGTGCTTTGATCTTCCTGTTGATCTCTCGCATGCTCATACCGTCCTCGTATTGCGTCTCTTCGTCTTGTTCTTCTTCTTCATCATCGTCTTCTTCATCTTCTTCTTGTTCTACTCGTCTCTTTTGCCTCTTGGACCTTCGACTGCGATTGCGACGACGTCGACGTTTCTTACTGGGGACTTGGGACTCCGGTGTCGACTCTGCGTATGTCGAATGAGCGGTGGGGAACACGTCGTTGTAGATGGACTCGTCGATGCGCTTGGGCTTGGGGCGAGTGCGCAGAGAATAGCGAGTGGATGACTCAGGCGACGCGCTGCTGACCTCTTCGTGGCCTGTGGAGGGCGGGGGGCTCGTGATGTCCAGCTCTGTCTGTAGACGTCGCTACAGCAACCAGTGAGTCAGTCAAGCCACAATTAGAGAGACACAGGAAGGACGTACCGAGGCGCGTTTTGTTGTCTCTTCTTCCTCATCATCTTCTTTGCTCTCCTCTAACTCGTCCGTGTCAACATCTTCCGACTGGTTCACACAGCAATTTAGACGGTTAAGAACCCTCGTATTGTGCTCGCATACTGTCCTAGCGACCAACCTCGTCGTCTTCCATCTCGACGGCACGAGAGCGTGTTGTTCGTTGACGCTCCAGCAGCACAGGCGACGAGTCTGCGCATGTCACACAGAGAGAACAAGGAGAGTGAGACGAACTGAGGGCAGAGCTGGTGACGGCGGGGCTCGTTACGCACCGCTGCTGCTCGGAGACGCCGTCGATTCCAGCACGCTGCGGCTCATTCGGTGGTCAGTTGACCAAATGGGCCAGTCGGTAACGATCCTGCAGAAGATAATATTTTTGAAACGCTTTGGACTGCTAAATCGAATAAGCAAGTATGAGCGTGTTTGGAACTTCGTACTTAATGATGGATGAGTGATATTCTAGAGCAGAGAGGGAACTATTCTAGCCAAAAGGGGATCTCAGTAGCAACATATTATTATTGGGGAAATCGGGGCCGTAATTTTACAAATAATTCGTTTTCGGGGCCGTTTTTTTTAAGGGACGTTGGATTGAAAAACCCACCCTGTTTTGCAAAATTACCGATATGTACCCTGTCGCCTTACATTCAGAGAACACGCAACATTGAGGCTACACTTAGGCTACAGGGTACATATCGGTAATTTTGCAAAATAGGGTGGGTTTTCAATCCAACGTCCCTAAAAAAAACCGCCCCGAAAACGAATTATTTTAAAATTACGGCCCCCAAACAGGATTTCCCCGTTTTTATTTCGAGTTTGCCAAATCTAAAAGTACTGTAGATCGATGACATGTAGATCGCAGGCAATCATGATGAAGGACTGGAGCACACACTCAGCTACAGAAAACGACAGCCGAGTTAGTCAACATATAACGGATTTTTTTTTACGAATAGTAGCCGGTCATGTGTTTATTAGTAGTCCCCAAAAGTCATTCAGCTTAGCCTGCTATTCGAAGAGGGCTTCTATTACTCGATGGCATCGGCATCATCTAAGGCTTGACCCAGTTCGTCTAAGTTAAACGGGTCCTCTTCCTCCCGGTTCTCCGCCTCTTCGTGCTCGGTGCCAGCTCATCGTTGCTGAAATTTCCACCTGTTGATGTCGTGATTCCAGATGAACCAGCGGATGGGACTCTTATGGAAACCTGCAGCTTCTATCGAGCTCAGCACCATGTTTCTCGTCATACTTCCCGCACCCAAGTGCGCACTGTTGCAATTGATGGCGGACGCGGATTTCCGCGAGCAATGAGCTCGACATCTTCCGAATGCTTCCAACGCTCGATTAGGCTGGACAGATTGTCTTCAAACACGTTGTAAATTTCGATATGACCCGCCTGGAGGTATGTCGTTGATCCTTCAGGGACAACGCACATGGCAATATCTCGCTGGTTGCACTCGGCATTAACCTTCTTTGGTATATAAGTCCGCATGAAATCCCACACTAGTGCTTTCTGGGAACGTCTAGCACCGGAGGAAATACACGGACAATCCGTCCCGTCAGCAGCTCCGAATTAACACGAGCCTATGGTTGATAAGCAACCCACACCGAGTTCACAGTTCAGATATCTATTCCCGTTCTTTTGTTCCGAATCATCAGCGGAGGGAGTTTCAGACGGCATAGATGCAAAGCCAATAGAGCAGAGAACAACACGACGCGAGCCGGTCACACCGATGGTCGAATCCCTTGGGTCCTCAAAGTAAATTGTTGTTTCGTCCATCAGAATAGTGTGACCGAGATTGTAATCGGGGTGGTTGCTCGTGAGAATATTCAGTAGCTAACAGCTCGTCCAACGAGAGCGCCATCAGAAAAAACGGCAAGATGCGTTTGTCTACGCAATGATAGATCATCGCGCTTCATGTACTGGGAGATCCAGGCGTCTGACGCTACAAAAGTTTAATTTTCGTCGAGTGACCTGTACAGCTCCCGGACGGCCACTGCAATCCAGTCTCGGATGATGCTTTCTTTGCTAAGTCAAGGTCAATAATAACATCCAGAAGGAGATGTGGTGGACGAGTTAGCTTTCTATTCGTGGCCTTTGAGCTTCAATTGAAGATATTTTGGTTAAGATATTGTAGGTTATTGAAGCATGATTTTGGATGAGCTAGCTTCATCATTTTTGCCCTTATAATATGGCGTTGGCCATTCAGAGCGTGTGATGTGCACAACGGGGCGATCACTAACAGTATGTATATGCAGTTCAAACGTGATCATCACTCTGGTATATTTCTTAGCATTATTGAATCAATGCCATTGATACATGTTCTGACGTTTTGACAAACGTTTTTGATTCACATTTTGACAATTGTTTGCTCTCTTGCCCGGCTTGGACGCTCTCTCGTCTTGAGTTCAGACAAGATCTGGACAGAAAGAACTTTGACAGAATTTATTGGTCGTAATTTAAATTTGGTATTATGACCAATAAATTCTGATCAGAACCTGTCACCCACATCGCAGATGGCCAAATGCCATTGGTCCAATAAGGACCAATGGGCATTGGACGTTTTCCCCTTGCGCCCTGCATCAGCTGTTCGTCGCGTACGACGAAATTTGACTTGTTCTTTGTAAGAAATATCGTCAGTGGCTTTTCTTTGGTTTTTGTGCCACGCGCCCTCTGCGGTCGTCAGTTCATAACAGAATTTGACTGAAATTCTGTATGCGATCTCGCTAGGTCAAAGAGACAGAAATTGACTTGGCTTTTGTATGTCTCCTGGCACCGCTCCCAGTATCGCGAGCAGTGGATGACAGGCTCATTTCTCCATTCGTCGGGTATCGCGAACAGAAGTTGACAGCAACCTACACTTCCAAGTCCCCGCCGTGTTCAAAGTCTCCACTGTCCGACGATGAGCAGCGCCCCCGCAGACAACGTGGAGGCCGTGCAGCGCATCACGCGGCGCATCGACGCCATCGGCGAGCGTGACCAGGGCGTCTTCATGGGGCTCTCGTGGTACTACATCAAGCTCATCCTGCTCACTGGCTTCGGCTGGGCCATGGACTCGATGGAAACCTTCATCTTCACCTACTGCGCCGCACTCATCCGCGAGGACATTCCGCAGAGCTCTCGTCAGGCGTCGTTCCTGGGCGGTGCAGTCTTCGTCGGCTCCTTCATCGGTTCGTTCCCGTTCGGCACTCTGGCCGACAAGTATGGCCGTCGCCCCATGTTCATGGTCACGCTCGTGCTCTTCCTGGTGGGTCTCGCCTTCTGCGCATTGAGCTGGGACGTCACTTCCATCACCTGTGCGCGTATCATCTCCGGTATCGGCCTCGGTGGTGAGCTGCCAGTCGCCTCTACGCTCGTGCAGGAGCTTTCTCCAAAGAAGACACGAGGCAAAATCATCGTACTGCTCGAGTCCTTCTGGGCTATTGGCTGCATGATGGCTGTCGTCATGGCCTTCGGTGCCGCGCCCAGGATCGGCTGGCGTGAAACCTTCTTCATCTGCTGCGCGCCTGTGGTCTACGCCGTCGTCATCCGCATGTACATCCCAGAGTCTCCCAAGTGGCTGGCCAGTGTCGGCCGCTACGACGAGGCTGTGGCAATTGTGGAGTCCATCGAGCGTGCGCACGGCATGGACCCGTACGATCCCAAGACGGACATCGAAGACGGCGAGCCGCTTCCGCCTGCCCCGCCTCAACTCCCGGATTCCCACATCAAACGCATCGGAATGCTCTTCCAGCGCCAGTTCCGCGTACGCACCACCGTCCTGTGGACACTCTGGTTCGGTATCTCCATGTCTTACTACGCCATCTTCATCTACCTACCCACGCTGATCTCTCTCAAGGGCTACAACATGAACGGCCAATGGGAAACGATCCTTATCATCACGGCGTTCCAACTGCCCGGCTACTTCGCTGCTGCGGGTCTAGTGGAGATCATCGGTCGTAAACAGACCCTCGTACTCTTCCTGGCGGGCTCCTTCGCGTCTGCTATTGCTATGGGATATGTCGATGCGTCCAAGGTTCCGGTCATGATCACGGGATCGTTCACGTCCTTCTTCATGCTCGGCGCCTGGGGCTGCGTCTACGCATACACCCCAGAGAATTACCCGACGGCCATTCGAGGCATGGGTGCTGCCTATCCGTCCGGCTTTAGCCGCATCGGCTCGTTCAGTGGCCCATACCTCTGCGCCTCCATGTTCGGAGACTGGAATGTGTCTCTCGAAGCCATTATGTGGGTGTTCGGCGGACTGCTGATGATCATTTCGGGCATTGTCCTTGTGTTCGGCTACGAACCGCGTGGTAAGGACGTCGAGCTGTACGAAGACGACAATCACACGGAGAAATCCCTCGCCTTCGAGGCCGTACAAACGCCAAAGTAAAGGGTGCGTTACCACTAACCGCTGGTTGAAAGCGGTATGTCTGCATTAGTTAAGTTTAATACATGCTACTCATTCGAGCAATTTGACGGACTTAGTTACAGCATCTTGCAGCCTTGCTTTGCAGCACTTCACCCTCGTTGCCGATTGTGTTTGATTTTCGATTCTCATTTATTTTCAAAATTTTCAACGCAAACTGGGAAATGGATTGAATCGGATCGATCGATATGTCTCGTCTGACTAATCCAT